CCCCCCGTTATTGCCCCCTGACCAATTTAATGTACTCTTATTATGTATATAATAAGACCTATAGAGTCCCCAAATGTCCTTCAGTGAGTCTATCCACTGGAACCTGAGAGTCACATCCTTGAAATATACTGACTATCCCTGTCCCAGCAGCCTTCAGTAAAAATAAATGAGTTAAAAAAATTATTCTCTTTCGCCGGGCATGGTGGCACATGCCTTTAATCCCAGCACTTAGGAGGCAGAGGCCGATGGATCTCTGTGAGTTTGAGGCCAACTTGGTCTATATGTCGGATAAAAGCTACATTTTACATTTGCTGGTATGTAGACTAGAAACTGTGCAAGGGTTTCACACCCAATTTCTATCTCTCCCTCCTCCCTCCCTTAGTCTTTTTCTCCCTCCCCCTCTCTCCAGGGTGTCCTTGTAGCCCTAGTTAGCCTGGAATTCACTATGTAGACCAGGCTGTCTTCCATCTCATAGAGATCTGCCTGCCTCTGTCTCCCAAGTGCCAGGACTAAAGGCATGTGCCATCATACCTGCCCTCCCACCTTTCTTTTTAAATAAAAACTTAATCAAGATTTAATTCACATACCATAGTGTTCATTCCTTTAAAGTGTACAGCTCAGTGCTTTTTATATAGTCACAAGGATCTGCCATCATGACCACTGTTTAATTCTGGACCATTTCTATTACCATAGAAAGAAAGTCCATATCTGTCAGCAATTGCTCCCCATTCCCTCTCCTCTTTGACCCTGGTTAATCTCTAATCTAGTTTCTGCTTCTATAGGAAGCAGAAAGGAAACTTCACAAATATTCACGAATATATGAACATATACATAATACATATGTGCATATTTTCAGGCATGGTCTTGTTATGCCCACGTTGTTTTCAAACCTGTGGGCTCAAGTGGTTGGTCCTCCCACCTCAGCCTTCAGAGTAGCTGGAGTTCAGGCACATGTTACCAGAACTGGCTTGGACATTCCCCATAAATGAAACTATGCAGTGTGTGGCCTTTCGTGCCTGGTTTCTTTCACTTAGTATAATGATACCGAGGTTCATCTGTATTAATTACTTTATTTCTTCTCAAGATTGAATATGGGCCAGCAAGATGGCTCTGCTGGTCAAAGAACTTGCCACCAAGCCTGACCACCTGAGTTTGATTGCCAAGATCCACACGGTGGAAAGAGAGAACTGATTCCTGTAAGTCGTCTTCTGACAGCCACACACACCTTGATGTACATCCATACACATCCACACAAGCACCTACACACAAAATAAACGAATTTCGAAAAGCTTGTAACTGAATACTTAAAAAAAACTATAAATTACATTTACTGACTTATTTAATGTATGTATTAATGTGGGCATGCTTATGCCATAGCACATGTGAGGAGGTCCAAGCACAACTTTGGGAGTCAGTGCTTTGCTCATTCCATTATTGATCCCAGGACAGAGCTCAGGTCCTCAGGCTCGGCAGCAAGCACCTTCACCTACCGAGTCATCTCACTGGCCCATGACTGAAAAATGTCCTGTTGTACAATAAGTCACATTTTATTCATCCACTTATCAGTAAATGGACATTTGGGTGTTTTTACTCCATCATCTCTTTATTTATTTAAAAAATTTAAAAATTTTTTTGGTCTTTTTGAGACAGGGTCTCCCTGTAGCCCCAGTTGTCCTGGAACTCACTATGTAGACCAGGCTAGCCTTGAACTCACAGAGATCCACCTGCCTCTGCCTCCCGAGCGCTGGGATTAAAGGCACGCACCACCGTAGATTTATTTTTATATGCATGAGTGTTTTTCTCTGACCCTTACAATTGTATTTAGTTCTTCACTGACTGGATGAGTGAACTGCGTTGTTTGAGAACATCAACATTTACAAATCTCCCCAAGAAATTACTGACTGGACTTAAAAAGTCCCAGAGTCCAGTTATGTCCTGGTTCTTGTATCAGGAAAGAGCAGGAGTTCTGGGTGTCAGCCTTCCTTCCAATCCAAATCAAGTGGAAGAGCACTGAATCATCATCTTTGAGTCCAGAGATATTTCCAGCAAGATAAATCCTGGCATTACTTTATGTTCGAAGCACTTCAAAATTCTAAGAGATCATCTGCTCCTTTCCAAAGCCCACAGGAATCCTGCAGAACACAGTTGGCCAGAGGTGTCAGTCTGAAGCCCTAGAATCAAACATTCCATTTGGCAGTCAGTAGGGGTGTGACTTTGGATAATACTTAACCTGTTGAGCTTCCATTTGGTCATTCTGAAATGGGAATGTTATCTCAGAGTTCTTCTGAACTTTCTAGGAGGAGTGAGTCTGGTGTGGAGGACAGTGCTTATTATATTGAAAATGCAACCCTGGCTTCCAATCTTTCCTGCCCTATCCACTGGGGATAGAATTCAAGGCCTGGTACATGGTTGTGGTGAACTGAAGTTCTCTGAAGAAGCCACATTTGTGTTGAGTCCTGAAGACTGGCTGATGGAATAGAACTTCATGATTGTGGAGAGATGTGGGAGACAGGCTTGAGCCTAGGGTGAAAGTCTTATTGACAGCCATACAGCAGGCTTGAGGCAACGGCCCAACTGCTGGAGCCACAAGGAACACCTTGTGACATTTTGCTCCTATTGGCAGATCATGAGACTGATGCTTAGAGCTCGCCACTCCCTAATCACCACCCTTAGAGCCAAGGTATCCTACTTGCTGTACTGTGATAGGATGCTAAACCTGTTATGCTAATAAGGTATCCTACTTGCTGTGCTGTGATTGGACCACTATCCCTATATAAGCTTGTGCCTTCCTGCAATAAAGCAGACCCATGGCACTGAACCTGGTCTCCTGTGTCTGAATCCGGCTCTGCTGACACAGTCTCCTCACCAGCTCTGGGGTGCAGACCAGACCAGACGACTGATCAGAGGAACTAAGAGAGCAGGAGAGCGGCCATAGCTGGAGGAGAGCAGCCACAGCCGGCGACCACAGAGAGAGAGAATATTGTAGATGTAGAGCTAAAATTATCCTGGGCTGTCTTTAGCCTCCTTACTAGCCATTTACTACCAACTTCTACATCTGACCTCACAGCTTGTGACTACTAGATAAAACGTCAACAGACCACTGGCAAACCTAATGTTAAGAATGTTGCAAGAAAGTACTCTAGAGAAGAGGTTCCCCAACTCTGTCATAACCTGCCTACCTAGCATGTCCACCAATGTACTGGTAAACATATTTAGTAAATGTATTGGGTAAACACACCTAGGACTTTCTTCTGTTCTGTGACTATGTTCATGCAACCTCTTCCACAGTGGAACATGTTATCCAGGGGAACTTGAATGCATGTTCCTGGGCCCTGTCACACACATTTGGTTCAGCTTAAACTCTTATTCCTGTTGGACCATGAGCTGTATTTTATGTCTGTAATAGGCAAGGATTCTAAGTAGAATTGAGCTTCATACTCAGCCCTAAGATTTTTAAATATCACCCTTGGGAAAAACTTCACATCCCTCTCTACATCCTCCTTTCCTTTTAAAAACTTATATTTATTCATTATTTTTGTTTTATGTGCATGAGTGTTTTGCCTGCATGTGTGTAAGTGCACCCATGTCATGCAATGTCTATGGAGTCCAGAAGAGGGCGTCAGATCCCTTGGAACTAGAGTTATAGATGGTTGTTAGCTACCATGTTGGTACTTGGACCTGAACCTGAGTCCTCTGCAAGAGCAGCCAGTGCTCTTAACCACTGTGTCATCTCTTAAATTCAAAGGGTACTTCTTTTAAAAAATATTTTATTATTTTTATGTGTATGAGTGTGCTGCTTGCATGTAGGTAAGTACACCTGTGTTGTGCAATGCCTGCGGATGACAGAAGAGGTTGTCAGATCCCCTGGAACCTGAGTCATGGACAGTTGTTATCTGCCATGTGGGTGCTGGGATTCGAACCTGGGTCTTCTGCAAGAACAGCCAGTGTTCTTTGCCGCTGAGCCATCTCTCTAGTCCCCCAAAGGGGTACTTCTTAAATCTCTGCAAGTTTCCTTTAGTAATTTGTTGCACTTTACAATCATTTAATTAGTATCTTAAAACTTCCTAAATTAATGGCTGGGGCACATGAGTCACAATATGCATGTGGAAGTCAGGGGACAACTTGTAGGAATCCTTTTCTCACTTTCCACCATTGGGGTCCTGAGGATAGAACTCAGGTGGTCAAGTTTTGAGAACCTACTAAACCATCGTTCCCACCCCTAGTCTGTCTTTTGTTTATAAACTCTGAGCTCCACTAGGGACCTTATTTGTCTTGACCTCTGTTCTAGCCTAAGGATCCAGGTGGTCTATGTGCCCACTGGGGATTCATCAAACACTTATGGAAAAACAGAGCAATTCATTCCTGTGGTTCAGAAAAGGGGTGACAGGGCTGGGCCTCAGTGGTAGAGGACTTGCCTACCATGCTAGAGGCCCTTAGTTCGATCCCAGCACCACAAAAAAAACAGAAAAGGCGGCAGTTGGCCCAGAAGTCACACATTAGTGGTGTGGCACTAGAACTTGCAATAACTTTTCCTAAACCTTTTTTAACATAATTGTTTTTCCTTCTTTTTTCTCACTGTGCAATCCACTCTGGCCTTGAACTCAATCCTCTAGCCTCAGTCTTCTGGGTAACAGTGTGCTGGGTTTATACTGCAACCACCATGCTCAGCACTGCTTTTTAATAGGTTCTGAATTCCAAAGAAAGTTCTAGAAAGGGAGTAGAGCAGTGTGAAGAGTAGGGGTAAATGATACAGTGTGGCTTTCTTCCTATGAAGTGAGGCATTAGGGAAACAGCCACGTCGCAGGCCGGGACAGTCCTAGTAAGGTAACAGCCACCAAAACCGGCTCGGAGAGCAGAGGGGAAGCGAGGGTCTGGCAATGCGCAGGCGCAGCTCAACATGTTCTTGCTTCCTGCTCCTCCCGTCCTGCCCATCCCCTGAGAGTCACTAGGCTGCTAAACCGTCAGCTGGGGCGCCTGCGCGGGTCACGTGACGAAGGGCCGGCTCTCGGCGCTGCGCAGGGTGGCGGGTCAGGTGACCCGAAGGTCTCCGGGGCGATTTAGGCCGGTGGTAAGGGCCGGGATCCCAGCAGCCATGGCGAGTCAGTCGCAGGGGATTCAGCAGCTGCTGCAGGCCGAGAAACGGGCGGCCGAGAAGGTGTCCGAGGCCCGCAAACGTGAGTTCCGAGCCGGCAGGGGAGGCCGGAGATTGGGAGGCGGGGAAAGGCCGGGAATCGTGGCTAGGCCGCAGGGGCGGCCGGGGACGGGGAGGCCCGAGACGGGTTGGCGGGGAATCTCCTGGAGGCCTAGGGCCCCTCTTGAAGCCACCCAAAGTGACTGCAAGTTGGACGTGGAGACAGTAGTGGGTTCGCGTTCTTTTCACCCCTTTCGTTAGCCTCCGGCCCAGCGACGGGACTTCCCGCCGATCGTCGTTCAGGCTGCGACCCCTGAACCCTTTTTGCTTCTTCGTCCGCTCGTTCGTGGCTTTGAGTTAGTCGATTAGCTTGTATGTCTTGTTCTCTCTGCCAGCAGCGTAGTTCTGCACAACCGAGTTAGTGTGCTGCCTGACTAGGTTGATTTCTTTTTTCCTGAGAATGTGCTAGGTGCCAGCATATGGTATTTCATGTCTCACGGGAGGAAGCAGATACCGGGTAGGGTGATTGTAGGTGAGTGAAAGACTAATGTGGACAGGTGCAAGGTGCCCAGGAGTTTAATTTAGTGTATGGGTTTAATCTGGACTGAGGAGTGGAAGAAGCCATCTGCAACCCATCATCCCTGCCTGAAATGCAAGTTTGACTTGTACCATTCCCTTTTTAGTCAACGCAAGCTTAGTGACTGCAAAATTGAGCTCGTATTTCTTTTTTCCTTCCTTTTTCTTTTTGAAGACAGGGTCTCACTGGGCAGCCGTGGTTGGCCTAGAACTTTATACATAGACCAGGCTGATTTCTAACTCAAAAGAGATCTGCCTGACTCTGCCGCCCCAGTGCTGGAATCAAAAGCCTGAGCCACAACATCTGGCGTCTTAATGGATTGGAGCCCTTTGATTCAGTCTTGATATTCTTGCCTAATGTCAGGTTGAGGTAATGTCTTCCAGCTGTATTGAAGCACTGTGATTCTTCAAGGCAAGGTACACTCCTTCCAAGAAGCCCTTGGCATGCTGTTTTCCCTGATTGGAAGAACCTTTCTCAGTTTATCTCCTCTTGGTACTCAAATGGTTAGTCTTCTTTTGGGACTTAGAATTTAGGCAGAAGTTCTTTCTTCCCTCAGACAAGGTTGGCTTTCCTCCCAAGTGCTCATTTCTGACAGAGTACTGCAGTAATCTGTTTCTATGGTGCAGTTCCTTAAAGTTACTGGAGACCAGAGATTGTGTCTCCAGTAACTTTATCCTGGTTTTCAAATAACTGGAACCATGCATCTGCTTCTTTTTTGCAACTGGGAAAAATGAGGCTCAGAGAGAGGATTTGACCAGCCCCTGGGGAGCAGTATAGCCTCCTCTCCACGCAAGAGTGATTTCCTTGTATAAAACAATCTATGCCAGGTAGGTTTCACTTATAGCTCTGGTAGGGGTTATGGTATTCTTTTTCTAGGAAATGTTTTCTTTGAGAGGACTGGGGGTGGTAAGACATATTTTTTTTTCCTGCTGTGGTGACTAGAAAGTTCTATGCTCCTTGTAGAAGATTTCCAATCATGCTCTTGACCCAGAATTTCCAGAATGACTTCTTAGTTTGTCCAGTGATGACTCAGTAATGGCTGCTTTATCTGCTGGGAAGGGTGTGAGAGTGTTTGGGGGAGTGCAAGAAAGAACATTTGGGCAGTGGTGAGAGTGAGTTCTCTGAGGGTAGAGATCACACCTCTGCTGTGCTGGGCTGGCTGGGTGCTGGATCTTGAATGTAAAGGAGTTAGCTTAGGGCTCCTACACATTTCAAGATTCTCCATAGTTTATACATCCCAACAAAACTCTTCCCTTCTTGATCTGTAATTAAATTTGCTCAGTCCGTGGAGAATTGGGAAGCAGTGTATAGTGTGGTAAAATGATCTAGCCCTAATTTCTCACAAAACTGTCACTTTGGTCTCTCTGTGTATCCCTGTCTGGCCTTTAACTCTGCCTCTTGAGTGCTGGACTTAAAGGTGTGGACTACCACGCCCAGCTACTTCAGAACTTTAAGAATAAAAAAAACAAACGTGGTGGTGCATGCCTTTAATTCTAGCACTCACGGGATGCAGGGGCAAGCAGGGCTACTACGATTTCAAGACCAGCATGCTCTACATAGTGAAGTTTCAGGCTAGCCAAGGCTACATAGTGCGACCCTGTCTTTTAAAAAAAATAATGAAAGCCAATGAAATAAGCCACAAAACTTTTAACAGCCGGGCGTGGTGGCACACGCCTTTAATCCCAGCACTTGGGAAGCAGAGGCAGGCAGATCATTGTGAGTTCAAGGCCAGCCTGGTCTACATAGGGAGTTCAGGTCAGCTGGGACTACAGGGGAGACAGGGTCTTCCTCTAGCCCCAGCTGGCCTGGAACTCCCTATGTAGACCAGGCTGGCCTGGAATTTACAGAGTCCACCAGTCTCTGCCTCCCAAGTGCTGGGATTAGAGGCTTGTGCCACCACACCCGGCTGTTAAATTTTATGGCTTATTTCATTGGCCTGAGAAAAGCACAATTTAAAAAAGAAAGTTGGGCCTGGACATCATATGCATACCTGTAAGGGAGGCTGAAACAGGAAAAACGTAAGTTTAAGACATGCCTAGGCTACTAGCTAGTTCCAGGCCAGCCTGGGTTACACAGTGAGATGGTGTCTCAAGAACCCACAATGAAAGAAAGAAAAGGAAATAAAACAAAAAACAAAACTATGGGAACTAGGAGTGTAGCTCATCAGTTGCATCCTTTCTACATGTACAGCCCTCAGCTCCGAGGGTGTGTGTGTGTGTGTGTGTGTAGAGTAAGTGTAACCTGGTGCTTTGGGTTTTTAGAAAAGCCTGTCACAACTGAACACTAAAGATATTTGCTGAAAGGCAGAGGTGATACTTAGTGATTAATTCAGAGAGCTGTGGGAGTTGGGAGTGATGTATTGTGGAGTTATGTGGGGCTACTGCATGATTGTTGGGCTGTGAATGTTTACAGACTGGTTTGGAGAAGATCATTGGCATTTAAGCATGGCCCATGTAGCTGATAAGAAGGACAGCTGGTGAGGGACTGGGGATCAGCTGGAGTGAAGCTGATCTCGGTAGCTGGGAAGAAGAAATGCGCTAAGTGTAGCCTTTCAGAAGTGATCCTTGGGTGTGTTAGGAGAGAATGGTGGTTGCCACCCACCACGTAGTATTGATGACATTGAGTTACTACAGGTCTAAAATTCTGTTCTTAATCATAGACTGGAAGGTTAATTTCTGTTTTCATTTATCCGCTTGGGTGGAGTGGGATCTGAACAGGTTATACACAGTGATGTATAACAAAGCTTAGTTTAAATGAAGGTTGTCTATTGCGCTAGTAACTTGGATATCTTGACTGATCTCCTAGAATTTTTTTTTTCCCTTTGGGTGTCCTAAGAATTTGGTGAGTGGGAATTAAAGACTGTTTGCTGGTCTCACAATCTGGAGACTTTGCCAACCTGTGTTAAACTGCTGTCTTCCAGAGACCAGAACCTGTTTTCTCCTCCCCTTCCAGATGCTTAATGCACTGATTTTAGCATTCTCCCCAGTAATGGCTACAGCCCTGGTACTCAGTTTCCAGTATTACATCATCTCTTTCCTTAGTCACAATCTAGGTTCTGTACCTTGGGGAGTGCTTTAGCTCCTCAGCAAACTCCCAAGCAGAGCTGTAGTTTCATCAGTGCCACAATTTGGTGTTGACTGTTTGGGTTGAGGAAGACCACCCCAGATGACCAATGTCACCCATCTTAGGTAGGATCTTAATTGTTGAGATTGAGAGAATATTCTGACACAGTGCATCCCACAATGCTTCCTTCATTTTCATGGACTATGTATGGTAGGGAGTCTACTTCTCGTGTGTAGTGCTGGGGATTGAACTGAGGGCTTCCTGCAGACAGTGCTCCACCCTGAGCTCCATTCCTGCTCTAGAGGGCATTCCTGTTTGGTCTCTACTTACAGCCTGGAGGCAGAACCCTAAACTAAGTGTCCTTTAGATCCGAATTCCCTTTCGTGTACACGTTACTGAGGATTTTGTTAATGTCTTTGCTGTTGACATGCAGCATCTCTGTGTTCATGCTTTTCTACTTTTAACCACTTCCTGATGTCACTCTTTGAAAACAGGAAAGAACCGGAGGCTGAAGCAGGCCAAAGAAGAAGCCCAGGCTGAGATTGAACAGTACCGCCTGCAGAGGGAGAAAGAGTTCAAGGCCAAGGAAGCTGCGGTAGGCCCCTTCTCATTATTGCTGTACTTAGGCAAATGTAAAAACACCCTTGGCCTTTGTATGCCAGCACTAAGCGCTTATCCCTCCCCAGTTCCTGCTTATTAAATATGGTTTATTGGATGCTTAGCCTGTCTTGGAATGGCCACTATATCAAATTGTAGTCTTCATTAATTTTGTTATTTAGCAGTCTCTTAAGCAGTTGACATGTGCAGGGTTCTCTGCTGGATCTCGGGATCAGCTGAGCAGTAGACATATTCCCTGCCTTCCAGGAGCTTAGCTTACAGCAAGTCCTGAAAACCTGTGATGAGAATACAGCAGATCCTGTACCTCAGTAAAATACATGGAGAGACTGTCCCCATCCTAGACTACTACAACACACAGAAATAACACAAAGACAGATCTTGGGAATACAGCAGGTGCAGAGAAAGTTCTAGAAGGGGAAAGAAGGGAGGAGGGCTTCTCAGGGAACAGAGTCGTACATGTCATAGTAGTTCCAGTTTACTGGCCTTTTAAAAAACCCACGTGAAAGACTGTGTTTATCCTAATCTAGGCGTTTAGGATTTATGTGCTCTGGACTCTTCTCTTATTTCTGCCTTTGGCGTTATATGCTTCATTCTTGTGGTCTTCTGTGGTTTCAGGCCCATATCTGTCCAGACCTTGGTCAGTCAATTGTAGATACATGCCTCTCTCTTAGTGTTAGGCAACATGGGGTTTGATCATCTTTGCACTGGGCAGTAATGGGGCTGTTAAAATGTACTGTGTTCCTCTTGGTTAATTGGTGCTATGAGTTGGGCACACACAATTCCCTGTGTCAGGGCAGCCATCTTGTGTCTATATTTTCAGTGTGTGCCCCAGTTGCTGATGGGATAGTGCCAGTGGTCTACTGTAAAGCACAAGCTATGCTTTTCTAGCATGCTGTAGCTAAAATTCCTCCTGGGAGGTGCAAAGGACGTCTGGCCCGCTTCTCTCTCTTGGTCCCTAAGACAAACCGAGGTTCTGTTTCACCAAATTGCAGTCTGGGAAACCAGTGAGTGTATTGAACTTACTTACAGAGCAGTGGGTGAGTTTACTTTCAGGAGTGTGGGTACTCCCCTCTAAGGCCACTGGAAAGTCTCCATCCAGGCATGGATTGCTCCCTACAGCGGCAAAAAAATGGCTCAAGGGCCTCCCTGTGGCTTCCTCAGCTTGCATACCCTTAGTGCACAACTAGGGCCAACTGGTTGGTTGGGAAGTGTGACTGGTCTTCCTGCCCCTCCTTTCTTGTGGAGTCTAACAGTCAACAAGTTTGGCCGTGATGATCTTAGGCAAGTGGGTGTAACCAAGCTTGGGAAGAAGGCACCTGTCCATAGTCGTCTGGTTGGAGGGCAGTCTTATGCAACACATGCTGCCATAGTAGCCTCTTTAGTTTTGAGATACTTACTGGGACTTGGCACATGGTTTATATTCATGAAAAGAGGTAGTGTCTCAATCTCTTGCATGCTGGAATTTACAGGCATGTGCCTCTATGCCTGGTTATGCGTTTAATAACATTTTCCCACCTTTAAAACCATGCCGTAGATAAATAAATGCTAACTTCATTGGTACTGTTATTTTTCGTATAAGCTGCATACTTTACTGTTCAGCAGTATGAAATGAACTGTATTCTCTTGTACAGATGTGCACACCAGTTTGTAACTGGTTTCAGTGGTATGTTTGTGTCTTGCTGTTGCTCCTCCTGATACTACTCGGGATTGACTGGTTCTTTAATACGAACTTTTTTTTTACCCCTGTGCTCAGGCAGTTCTGCTTTAGCCTGCCATGTAGCTGTGTTTATAAGTGGGCACCACTCTGGTGCCCATAGTTACTGAATCTTTTTTACAGGAAGACAGGGTCTCCCTGTAGCCCCAAGTAGCTTGGACAACTCACTATGTAGACCAGGCTGGCCTTGAACTCACAGAAATCTTCCTGCCTCTGCTTCCCAAGTCCCGGGATAAAAGGCTTGTGCCACCACATCTAGTTAGTTGCTGAATCTTTAGTTTAATTCTGGTCTTTGCTAGAGGCTGCATGTTTGATTGTGGACGGATGTGACAGGGTCTCTGGGCTAGTTTCCTGGCTATTGACGGTGGTAGCTCCCCAGTAACTCTGGGGGAATGCCTGGTTCTTTACACACTTGTACTCTGTCTGTTGCTGGTGTGTTGCATTCATCTCAGTGAGCTGGGGTTTTTCTCCTCAAGCCAGGAAGTTTCATCCTTCATGTTTCAACTGGAGAATGTTTCTGACAATCCCTTGTGTCCTCTCTTTGCTCCAGGCACTGGGGTCCCATGGGAGCTGTAGCAGTGAAGTGGAGAAGGAGACCCAGGAGAAGATGACCATCCTCCAAACCTACTTCCAGCAAAACAGGGATGAAGTCCTTGATAACCTCTTGGCCTTTGTGTGTGACATCCGGCCAGAAGTCCATGAAAACTACCGCATAAATGGATAGAAGGCAGATGCCCCTGCTCTGAGCTTGGCATTGGAAAATTCCGAATAGGAAACCTCCAGGAAGCCTGAGCTCTGTACTGAGGAAAGGCTTTGTTAAATTATCCCTCTACCTTGTAGTCTGTCCTGTCACTTTGGAGAGTAGCAAATCCAGCTCTTTGTACAGACTTAGTACTTACCTAAACTTTCATCTTTTACTTTGTTGTCTTTAATGAGTATATGCTGTTTTCCTACATGTTCACACAAGCAACGGGTATCAATGTTAACTTTTTCTTTTAGTTTAGTTAAAAAAAACTCTTTGAAGAAAGCAAGGGATTATATTGTTCCCTTACACTTTCTTACAGGTCAGGGGCTTTATCTATGAAAAAGTAGTAAATAGTTATTTGTAATCTGTATGAAGCAGCAGCCAGTCTTAAAGCAGTCCATTCTGGCTAAGGGTTAGACAGTGAATACTAAAACCGTGTTCTGGCTGCTCCTAGTTTTATCTTAATCCAAATTACTAGATAATAGGATTCAAGAACTTTAACATGTTGTTTGGTGTATTGGTAATCGTTTAAAGTAAAACTTTGTCATGCATTTCGCCCCTGTGGCTCCTCTTTGATGATGCATTTCGATCCAAATGGTTGAGAATTTCATTTATGAAATGAAAAACATGACTCAACATACATACCAGATTTGCATACCTAATCACTAAATGCTCAGGGTGTACACTTTGTAGGGAAGCAAATTGCTTGTGATTTCACCCTCAATTTTTAGCATACAGCAAGCAGGGCCTGTAGGTTACCTTCTCTCCAGATACCTTGTGTTGTAGCCTTGGGCCAGTGAATGAGCATGCTTCCTTTCTGATGGGGGTAGTAATGCTTGGAACTGTTCTGGCTCATAAATGAGAAATGCGACTTCTGTGTGGTGACAGTCTTTCTTTGGTTGCAGAATAATTTCTGGTGAGTAGAACCAGTTGGAAGAGAACATTAGGGGATTTCCCTACTTGCTCTGCAACAGAAGGAGATAAGTAGAGGGTTTTAGAATCTTGTGTGCCTCAGGATGGTTTGATCTTTGACCTTTTCATCCTGGTCATTGTTCTCTTTCTGTGTTTCTTTTTCTATAGTTGAAGGCCTCACAAGGGTTTACTGCCTTAGCATGTCCATTTCATGCTGTTAAAACACTCCAAGCTTGCCAGTGCATGGAAATGCTGGTCAGGCTGAGCAGGGCCCTGATGGAGAAAGCCACACTGCTGCTGCTTGACCCCCAGAGCTGCCGGGCGGGTCAGTCACTCCCCTTGCACCTCTTTCTTACACTTTCTTACACCTCTTTCTTATACTTAAAGGTGTACAGTAGTGTTCTGATTGCGTCTCTGGCTTTCCCAAAGCTTTTATTTTTGGTCTTTTGTTTTTTATGAGAACACTACTGTTTCCTAGCTTTACCATGTATATCAAAGACCTAAATTTGTATTTCCAGCCCATTTCTTGAATTAGTCATCAAATTGCTTGTTTGGCATTTTGAGCTGGCTGTCTACTAACCCTCTCAACCCTAACTTGTCCCATCCCCCACACTTTTGTTCGACTTCATTCTCTGTATTGCTAAGTGTAGCAATTTCTAACCTCCACATATTGCCAGTATAGGTTTCCTAAATTGAAAGAGCATGCAACAACACTGGTATTCACTGGTTTAGACTGATGTGTGATACTGGGGATCACTATACTCTTGTATCACTGAGCTGTGTCCTCAGCTTTGGTATTTTTAACATTGCTGTCCAGTATGTTTGCCCAGTATTAGGATCATGCATATATGACTGCTTGGCGCTGAACTTAGCAGCTCAGGTTGACAGTCCCTGCAGCCAACAGAAGGGATCATTCCAAAAGAACTGGAGGTCAGTGACCAGTTGAGAGGATACGGTGAGCTTGAAGACTTTGGAGAGAGGAATTAAATGGTTTGAAGAATGAATGTAGAGGAGGAAAGATCTGGCTGTGAAGAGAAGATGAAGTTGTGGCTGATGGAGCAGGTGGTTCAAGGAAGGTGATGACATGTTTAAATGCTGGTGGGGAAGAGAATAGAGCAAGATAAGGGGGTATTCAGGGAGGAGTGACATTCCAGAGGGGTCTGGCAGTCCTGATCAGGATGCACATGAGGTGGGGTTCCCTCTAGTCCTCAGTCCTGATTGTTGTTGCCAGGCAACTTGTGGGTGCTGAGGTCCCTCTCAGGCCAGTTGGGGTGGGGGCAGGACTAAGGTTTCTTAAGAGCTCCCTCAGGAAATCTAAGAGAAAGAGCTTCTGTTACTGTTACTCTGAGAAATTAGCAACTGTAAGGCTGTATGACCTTCAGAGATGACAGGTGTGTTGGCCTGGTACAGAACGACGAACCTGATAAACATAGCAGAGCAGTTTGCGGGATTTGTCTCCATTTGAGCATAAAAAAGTATGAAATGGGCATATATGTGTGTGTGTGTGTATGTATGATCTCTATATATACACACACATAGATAGGGGTATATCTAGAAACAGGAGAAACAGCAGCAACTCTCTTGAGAAAGGTTTACCTGGTCTGGGAGGGGTTTTCTTTGGGATGGGGGTAGCGTTTTATTCATTACAGGGCTGTTTTAGCACTGTCCCTGGTCTCTACCCACTAGATGCCATTAGGGACCCCTTCAGTAGTGACAACCAAAAACGTCACTGGACATAGATGTCTCCTGGGTGCTAGAATTATCTTCAGATCAGAGCTGCTGTTCTACAGAAACAAGAAAAGAATTATTAAAAATACATCAGAGCACTACATATGGTGCCTGGAACATTCTAGGTGCTCAGCAAATGTTTCCTGTTTCTGAAATACAACAAAGACCTACTTAAAAAGTTTGAGACTTAAAAAGTTGGGTTTCTTGGGGGCAGCTGTTGGACATGTGGTGAGTGGGTGATGAAGCTGTGTCTACCTTCTCCAGTTTCCAACATTGCAAAGGTAGGAAGAAAATGTTACTCTTATGAGTGTATTGCTTGCATGTACGTAAGTGCACCATGATGTGCAAGGCCAAGGGAGGTCAGGGGAAGGCATGGGATCCTCTGGAACTGGAGTTAAAGATGTTAGCCATCATGTGGGTGCTGGGAACCAAACCCAGGTTCTCTGCAAGAGCAGCCAGTGCTTTTAACTGCTGAGTCACCTCTCCTCCCAAAGTGCTGATTCTTGTGTGCTTCAGTCTTCAGATGGTGCCTGACACCCTTTCTTCCATTGACCCAACCTACCTGCAAGGGAATTAAGAAGAGGGAGCCATGAACAGAAAAGATGTTTCTGGTTGAAAATAGTTTTCTGTATGCCAGCCAGTGCCTTAAGAATTTTTGCATTTGTATTAACCAGTTTAATCTGCAGCTTTTACCAGGGACAGGGATTGAGGAACCAGGCAAGGGTATCGGGTAGAGCCAAGATTCTTCAGTGCCTTTAAGCACCTGTGCCTTTAACTGGTGCAGTCTGTGCTGAGCTTCTCGATTGGATACTTGTTATGGATCTTGACCATGTGGCTCTCTTCCCTTTCCCTCTAGTTTCTAAAGTGATGCTCCTTGACTGCTTGGGCAGTTGCCTAGAAAGGATTCCCTACTGCCTTTGATAAGCATAGAAACATTCTGTTTGGTGAGATGGCTCAGCCCTACTCAAGGTCTCCTTGCTGGAAGGCATGAACTAGCTTTACAGTCAGTGTGGGTAATCTTTTGTAGTTCCTGCCTAACCATGCCCACTTTGGATTGGTGGGAGGGAGCTCATGAGAGGTGAAGTATTAACCTAGAGGCCACATGTCTAATGTGTGCAGGCACATGTCTAATGTGTGCAGGCATGTAGTGAGGCAACCCCTGTTCTGGGCCCTTTAGACCCTGCAGGCTAGGCAGCGTGATCCCACCTCCATGGATGAGACAGCCTGGAAGCTTGCTGGATGTGGAAGGTCTCAGAGTGAGGATGTGACAGCCTGAAGTCAATTCCGAGCAGTCCTGTATGCTGTAAGCCAGATGCTGCTATGCTCCTATACTTCCTGCTGGCTCTGCTAGTGGCTCTGTACGGCTGCCCTAACCCTGGGTGAAGCTGCCTGGGGAAGTGAGCCTGCCATGGATGATGAACGTTCTGCATTTCTGGCCTGTTTCCACTCAAGAAGATGAATGGTACTAGAAATTTACTAAAGCTGTCCTTCGTGAAGTTCGAGCTTTAATGAGTTCTGTTCGCTCTCATTTTTCTCATCATTCTTTTTCTTTCCTCCCGGCACAATCTGGCAGACGTCAAGAGTGTTTCTGCCCTATTGGTTCCTCTATCTGGGTCTGGAATTACTAAAAACCTGCACACGAGCAGCTCTAGTTTTTCTTTCTCTCCTTCCTGTGCAAATAGGTTTCTTACAGTCTATTAAAAGATTTGGCCAGTGGTTTGAGAAGTGGAAGCTGCCAGATCATGTTTACCTTCTTTTTAAAAAAGAATGTAAGATGACACTATCTCCTGCATAAAGTGTGAATTCCCGTCATTGTGTTTGGAAGAGCTAATTAGGATGGGGGTTTTGGAGAGGGGACTGATGACCACACCACCCTGTTCCATTTGAAGGTAATGTACAAAGGAAGAGTGACTGTTCCGGAACAGATGGCTGTACAGATCAGAAGAGAAGCTGGGCTGATGGTATGGATTCCACAGTGGGGCTGCCTGCCATTGTCTTAAGGTGGTTTTTAAGGATGGAAAGACAGAACCACCTCACTATGAATAAAAGCAGGTTCCCTTCAGCTGTCCGTCCTCCTCTGCCCAGCCAGATGGGGATTCTCCCTCCGTGGCCCACTTCATTTTGCTCCTTTGTGCTTGCCCCTGGCACACTGTTCTGGAGCTTCCCTGATACTCCAGGGAAGATCGTGGTCTTTCCTGACAGCAACTCAGAGCAGTTTTTTCTTGTGGTTTTGACCCACTTTTCTGATGGGCAGCGTGTGACTTGTGTTACTCCCAGCACACCTGACAAGGGCAGCTGTGTCTTTAGTCCTGTGTTGTCACCTGTTGTCACCCCATGTCACACTTCCAGGAATTGAGGTGGATGTCATGGAGTCAGTAGCAGTGCCACCTTCTCTAAGGCACTTGGAAATAGTTTTCCAATAGTTCACATTTATTATCAGTAGCCATTCAAGGTACGTACATACATACTATGTGCCCATGTCTGGTATTCTGTTGTGTAAAGTAGGAGACAGGCTCAGAGATAAGTCAGTTACCCAAGGTCACAGAGCTAGATGCAAGGGCTGGATTTGAACCTAGGTCTGTCTGACTTCCTAGCCTGGCCTGCTGTGTCATCTGTTCAGTTTGTTCAGGCCATGGCAGTGTTGCAAGTGGTATCTCTAAAGCTGGGAAGTCAGTGAATGTAATTGAGCAACCAGTTCCGAGAACCAAGTTTTAATTTTGATCTTTTGCTTTTGCACACTCTTCCCAGCAGTTCTAAGGCTCCCTCCAGTGCTGTCTGCTGCAGCGCTTTGAGGCTCTGCCAGGCTTGAGAGTTCATTCTGTTATTTCATCCCTATTGCCAAATGTGTTGGCAGCTGGCCCTCAGACCCGTGTCTGCAACCCCTGCAAACACAGCAGGATGGATGGGGCTGCTGA